ATAGTAATCCTCCGTTACTTTTATACAGTCATTATCATTAGGAGAAATCCTCCCTTCACTTTTTATGCGTACTTATTATTGGGTTTTATAACGTGACGCATGAGGACCTGTCTCCTTAATAGAACATCTGAGGGCATTTCGCGTCATCTACGGTCGTGCCGCTAGACGTTGCATCACCGCGACAATATCAAGCAGCGAGATGTACCTGGTGGCACGGCCAAGAAAAGACGCGAAATGCCCTGAGATATTCCATCGTGAAGACAAGTATAAATGCGTCACGTTATAAAAACCGACGTAGTAAGTCGTCAAGAGGACCGCCAGGTAGCATCCCCGCGTGCGCGCCCTTCTCTCTTGCGCGCTCCTGCGCCACAACCCAACGGTCAGAATTAGCAAAGGGGTAGCAGGATGCTTCACACGAGTTGGACTAGCCCCTACCAAGCAGACAGACTAGTGTTGTCGGAAAAAATTTCACATATTGTCCGGGTATCGAATGCGGACCTCCTTGGTTAAACTGCGAGCTACATCGCTCTGTATTTACTAGGCTGTCCGGGTGACGCCGCGTCCATGGCGAAGGTGCCGACTAATGCATTACGCCCTGAGGAAGGTCGCAGAATGGCGACCGAAACGTCGGCACCTTCGCCATGGACGCGGCGTCACCCGGACAGCCTAGTAAATACAGACTCCAGCCGCGGAAGCCTACGCTCTTACTTCGCTCTGATCCACGAGCCAGCTTCAATACCTAGAAAGATGATGAACCTGACCATACATTTGTAGTATGTCTGAAACCTCATTGCGACTAGTGCTAAGGGTAAAACGTGTGCCTGGAAGTGTTGATAGAGTTGTTGCTGCTGATTTTGTAGTCATCTATACTCAGTGTTAGTACTCGCATGTTAAAGTGAATAAAGAATTAATTAATGATGAATTGAGTGAATGAGTGTGCGAGTAATTCATACGTGCAACTCGCTTAGTGTCTTCTGTACGAGTACCTAGGTTCGCTTCAAGGGTCGTCATTTCTCGGATCTCCAAATTGTGTCTCGAATCGTCACTGACAGGTGAAGATTTAGTTAATGAATTGTTCTAAGATTTAGATATTAGCTAACATTCATTATGTGCTTCTTAGAGGTTAGGAAATGGATATAGTTTGCCGTCAATGTAGCAGTGCGATGGTATTTTTGCAAGAGATGACTGAAGTAGTATAAATTTGAACATAATTATAGGAACTTAATCTAACCTTCAGAAATACAAGAAAGTATTTGTCACGTTGTAACACGTCTACATTCAATTCATGAGTTATTTACAGGGCGAGACTCAGGGAATCAGGTCCGCTCTTCCGTCTGACCATGCAAATTTCGCTACATTCTAATAAATCTTAGTGCTTTTTACTTTCTCCTTACGGAGTAGACTCATATTACAGGGCCGTGGTAACGAAAAAGTGGCTCAATTCAGTTGCTAAATTTAGAGAGAAATATCCTCTAACACGTGGTGTAGCCAGACTCTATGTTTTGTGGAACTTTGATACCGAAAAATCGAATGACGGCAAAGCGTCTGCCCGTCTGTTAACTGCGCTAGGGTCTCAAAAGTTCAACTAATTTTCTCCAAAACTGATATTCCCTAATCGACCTGACTGATATCGCGGCACCCTTGAATTTGAAACTGATATTTCAATTTTGGGGGATAGTTTACATGAAGTCCCTGGGATATTTTCCAAATTTCAAAAAAGCTCCATCGTTTTTTATTAAATTTTGTTGTTCGATAGTGTGAAGGACGTTTAAGTGAATTATGCAGATCTGATGTTCGTTGAAAATCCTGATTTTTCGAAAATTGCAAAAGTTAGTATTCAGACTTGCTCCAAGTAAAATATTAAAGATAGATATTTTCCTTTAATGAAACTGGTCCTGAAGATAGATTTTGAAGTAAGGTCATGTAGAAATTTTCGAAAATTTGAGTACTTTTCGCATAATTTAGCGTGAAAATACCGGAGAGAAAGTAGGTGCTGTCTTAGCGCCACTAGTTTAAAATTATATACACTGTAAGGCCCTGACCATAAGAGGTACATTAAATAGATTCAATGCTTTTCTATTTTACTACACACCATTTTTACATTCTCTCCGCAACATCTGTTCAGCGAAACGCAAGAGCAAGCTGTCTCCAACCAGTTGAAAGCCGTAGAACACCGGCTCCACTTCCTGAAAAAAAAAAGAAAAAAACAACCTTGAATTAAGATTTTACATTTCTACAATTGAGGGAAGGTAAATTGTAAGAAGAAGCTGAAAACGGTGGTGTCGGTCCCCTCCCTCACCCCCCCAAGTCAGATGTTCCCCATCCTACTCAACCTCCGGAAGCGCTCGGCGAGGTCATTTGATGCGTTACTGAGACACAGAGAGTAAAGGAAAGGCCATGCTACATAGAGTGGCTGAAGCGCCTCCATCTTTGCAGCAAACACAAGCCATGTTTTTTTGCAGTTAAAGCAGCGCCCTCTGGAGAAACAGAGTAGTCTAGTGTTGCGTTTGGCGCTGGTTACGGCCGGGTAGGCGCAGTTCGCACGTAATATAAACATTTTTACTCCTTTTCTACGACCAAAAAACAATCATTTAAAAACGAAATCCCAATATGTCAAGAGAACGAATTGAGAAACTTTAAAACACGTTGCTTCCTGTTTTAGTTATTGTCATAAGAGCGGATGCTGTTGAAATGTTATTGTAGTTAGCATAACGCCTGAAAATAATGGCATTGCAATAAGAATGTAAACATATTACAAATGAGGCGATAAACTTGAAAAATGGTGGTATGGCGACTTCCATTTTTACAGCTGTATGCCGAATGTATGCCTTAGGAATTGTGGATATTACTGGAGCGCTGAAATCGCAGTGTCAGCCATTCTATGCAGTGAGTTCTAGCTCGTTGGGGGAAAACGCAGATGAAGCGGATCTGTCGTTCTTCTACGTCCTCTAAGATTGCCATCCAAGTGGCGTCCTACCCGTCGCATCGTCCTGTCTCTCCGTCCCTACACAAACTTCCGACTGCGCTGACGCAGGGACGCCATTTCGAGCGCCGACTCCGAGAGAGAGGAGAGAGGAGAGAGAGAGAAAGAGAGAGAGAGAGAGAGAGTAAAGCATTGATGTCGATGCCACCAGCGATAATCCGTGGCAAGGATAGTTAGACGAAATCACCCCCCTCCCCACGCAGCTGAAAACTACTGCACTACTTAAAATATAGTGCCCCTTCAAGGTCACGCGTTGGAAGGAGATGGGGACATCGTCATCCAATCGGGAGATTCAATACCAAATATGCAAGTCGTAACGAAGGGACCCTATGTTTTAATCGCAGTATATCTTTCGTGATTTCTAGACCGTCCAAATTGATTTACTGTTTTAAATTCTCACTAACATTGTTTTCAATAACATTAATTACATTAGTAAAATAATACTTGAATATATATATATATATATATATATATATATATTATATATTATATATATATTATATATATATATATTATATATATAATATATACCACATATCGTGGTGAACATCTTTAGAATTTATTATATTATTGTTTGAATGAAGAAAACGTAATCAACCACAGCTGCGACGCCACGTGCGTCGGTTGCCGTATCATACTGTGCTCAGAAAGTCCGCATTCCGATTGTTTACCTGTATGCTCGCTTGTATTTAGTTGAGTTTTGTTTTTGAGATTTGGGGTTGTAATCGCGTCAAAGTTAAATGTGATTTCGTTTATTTTTCTTCATTTTGGTTTTCAGGTTGTAGTAAATTTATTAATTTACTATTTTTTAAAATTTAATTTCCTTTTACGATTTTAGAATGTACGATCCACCAACCGTAAAGTGCTTAATGGTCGAAATAAACAAATAGTAATTAATGTTTATAACGATTTAACTATAATTACATTTTCCAGCGGGGTTCGTGCGCAAGGGCTACCGCTCTCTTACGCGAGGCAGCTCCATTTCCCGACAATCAAATCAGTTTGTTCCCGTGCGGCCGACTTTTTTTTCATCAATGCACTCTTAAATATTTTATTCGGTAATCAAAACTTATTATTTATCTACTTTTAAAAAGTGACCAACAGGCTTGACCTTTTTGCAACTGCATGTACTTGGTTTGAATTTAGGATATTGTTTGAAATAGTGGTGCACTTTAAAATTAATATTTCTTCCTGATTTCTTAAGACATTTCGAAGCCCGAAGGACGTGAGAAACTTAACAGAACGGCCCTGTGTATTGGAGTTCCTTAGAAACAGCTTTAGATATGAGGAAAGGCAGGAAATACGATTTCAGAAAATTGGAAAAGTTCGAGATAAAATACTTGAGTGCTAAACTAGCGCTCCACCCCATTACGGGATTCGTTGTCACTAACGATTCATACAGTACAGTAGAAAAGCGCCACGTTTGGCATCACTGTCGCCATGAGAGACCGCGGACGCGCCATAGAACGAGCCGAACCCCGCTTCAGACGCATCGACTGCCGACCAGAACTTGGTACTGCCAACTGCACGACACGACACAAACACGGTGGTCGTTTTTATTGACTAACCCTGTACTACGAGTGTAATTACACAAGATAATTCCAGCATCTGCTTTACCAAAGATGTACAACAATGGGTTGGAAGTCAAATAACATTTCCAGGAAATTATTCCTGACCTATTTATAATAAAAAGAATTCGCTGGCAACGTTATTTTTCGACGTCTTATATTTTCCAGATACATTTAGTCACTCTAAATAGTTTTTACCTTTTTTAACTCACCCGTAATAATAAATATGTAGCAATTAGCTAATAGAATTTTATTTTATAAGTGGCTGAATTATACCATTATGTGCAAATTAGTTCATTATTCAGGAGCGCGTTACGGCGGGCGTAACGAAAACATAACGGTCTTTCAGACACGTGTAATACACATTTTATCTTATCCGATCGCCTTCTTAACTTTGTGAGCTTGTTCACATCTAGAAGTATGCGTAATGATGAATGGTATTATATTACTTTTGGCGGTATATTGGAGGCCTTGAAGGGACGGTATATTTGAGTTGACAATCATTCTTGCAAGAAAATTGAAGATGTTCCTGAAAGTGTTCAAAGTAATACAGCGAAATCTGTGTAAGAATCACTACCCAGTGAAACTAAAGATACATATATTGTAAACAATGCAAAATTTTTAAGAAGTGGAGGAGATAGAGAAGTATTAAGAGGTATACGAGGAAGTTACAATAGATTATTTGGCAGCGAAATAATCAATATTTAATGCAGGCTCGTATGAATGTTCTATACGAAAGTGTGTATTATACTTTATTTGATGAGTATTAATAGTAAATGTGTTATTATCTTTAATACATTATTGTATACAAGTGTGCCTCTAAGTATATTTCATTTTTCAATAAAATAAGATTTTTGTGTGCATTGTAATGTTCAGTTTGCCAACAGCAATATTGCTGCTGTTTATCGTGACATTGGATAGCTACTTTATTACGGGGCTGTAATAAAGAACCATTTCACAGACTGCGGACACATAAGTAAACAACCCACAGAAGATAAATAACATTATTTCTAGTATTTGGGGGTAAATTAAAAAAAAGTGGAAATATCAAACAATAGTGTTAGTGCTTAAATATAGAAATCCTTTTTTAGGAAGTTTGGGTACTGTTCGTAATTATCAGCACATATTAATAAAACAAGGTAAGAATCTTATAAATATACTATTTGGAAAAAAATGTAAACCGTGAGATATACTTACATGATTATTTCGCAAAAGTTGTTTCACATGGCTACGATGAAGTGATCTCAAAGAGTTGGGAGTAAGAACACCAGGAAATCTGTCACTGTATGGATTCTGCGAGTACAGAGCATGAGAAGTCATTCTTCTATCTTGACCTCGCTGCTTCTGTAAGGAAATGAAAAGGTAAAGTTATCTATCATGAGGGTTTCTATTTTTGTGTAAAAATGATTTTTTCATCGTAATGCATGTATTAATGTAAGAAACTACTTTGCTCTATTTTTACTTTTCCTTCGTATACGAAGAGTATCCGGAAAGTAATGTCACGAGATTTTTTGACACACAATTGCGTGCAGTTTTTTTCTTAAATGAATTATACAGGGAAAATAGTACAAGTAATACATTGTTTTACTTTCTCGCTGCTGCTTACGCAGTATAAATAAAGTATTGTAAAGCCACGAGAAAAAAGCCATTTTTTTAGAGAAAAATTTGTTGGCGGGCCTTCGTAAAAAGTGGATAAATCGTGTTCCCATATGTCAGGCCTCCACAACGCTTGCTCCCGCGGCCATTCTGCACTCAGGAACCTCTGTTACGCGCGGTGCAGCTAGAATACATGTTTTTTAGGGCCTTGATACTGAAAAATCGAATGACGGCAAAACGTGTTTCTTCGTCTGTGAACAACGCCAAGGGGGTGACCCCGCAGCCGATTTTCTCCGAAATTGATAATCCCCAATTAATCTGGCACTTGAATTTGAAACCGATATATTTTAGGGGGAGGGTACTTTACATGATGCCCCCGGGACAGTTTCAAACAAATGGTTTCATCGTTTTTGATTAAATTTTGTTGTAGGATAGTGTGAAGAACATTTAAAAGAATGATGCGGGTCTTCATTTTCAGAAATAGCAAAAATTCAAAATTTATTCTCTTCCTACAACTGGAATTATGAAGATTGAGATTTTTCTTTTTAATGAAATCTGTTCCTTAATAAGGTCGTTGTACAATTTTGCGGACATTTTAGTACTTCTATGCGTAATTTTGCGTGAAAGTACGCTCAAGATTGCTGCGAGCTCTTTCCCCACCACTACTACGGAATTTCCGCAAATAACCTCTCCAATAGACAAAATTCTCCAACGTTAACCGAACAAAATTCTCCAATTATAAATCAACGACATGGACTGTCCCTGGCATTCCATTCACTGTTCCCTTACATTCAGATTCACCAATCTTCCTTTGAGCTGAGAGCGTAGGCTTCCGCGGCCGGAGTCAATATTTACTTGGCTGTCCGGGTGACGCCGCGTCCATGGCGAAGGTGCCGACGTTTCGGTCGCCATTCTGCGACCTTCCTCAGGGCGAAACGCCCTGAGGATTCCTTTGAGCTGCTTGCAACCATTGAAGAGAGATATTTGTGCTTTATGCCCGAAACCCTGAACTACCTCAACTTCTTTCTCTATACCTATCGTTTATCTTTCTCTTTTGATACATAAAAATGGGAGAAAATAACCCCTGTTGATTATTCCTTATTCACAATAACAGATTTTTTTAAAATTTAGATTAGATGGAAATAATTTTCCCAAACATTCCCCGTCCATTTATGTTCTTCATATTTTGTCCCCACAATGAAAAAAATCTCCCATTTGGTAGACAAAATACCCCAACGCTTTTACCTTGGTGTCGCCGTCCTGGCAAGTCGACGAGTTAAACGGAGCGAGTGGCGCGCGCGCCTGTGAGCGTGTGTTCACGCCCTCGCAACGCTCACTCGCACACTCTGCCTTCATGCTCGACTCCGCCTTCCTAGGGTTGTCAACTTCCGTCTAAAGAAGAGGATGAGAGATTAAATAAATCTTAAACGTATCTCGGACACGTTTCAAAATCAACAGAAAAGTAGTTTTTTTTACTTTCTCGTCTTACTGCATAAGAAGAGCATGTATTGAAACCGTGGGTCAGGAGACTGCATTTTTTGATCGAAAAACGAGATCCCGGGACCTGGTAACCAAACAATTTCACGTTCCTATCTACAGTATATTATTTCCTCTAACTTTTCAGTAGTCAGAATCCATGTTTTAAAGGTTCTTGATACTAAAAAATCGATTAATGTAAAAACGTCTCTTTGGGCTCAACACTGGCGCCTAAACCGTTCAGAAGATTTTCTTTAATATTGATATTCCCCAATCGATTTGAAGGGACTTATTGCTCTGAGAGTTTCAAACGGATATTTTGATTTTGGAAGGTTTATTTATTTAAGGCGTTTTTATTTTATTACATAGGGTATTTCAAAAATACCTAAAGGAAAGAGTTACTCGGTGAAGGAACGTGTTGAACAGCGAGAAATTGTCATGAAATACAAAAACATTGTTGAAAACAGGCAATCAGATTCTGTTTCTACGCGTAAGAAAAAAGACACGTGGAAAATTATTTCTGCACAACATAATTCGAATCACGAAAATATTCCCAGGTACGTGGAGGATTTTCCATGTCTCTGAAATATCGTTTTGGTATACGATTTTCCACATTAATTTCAACCAAAATTAACTCCAAAAACTCATCGAAATTATCCATGTTTAAAAATGAGTCTCCACTTAAGGGTACAGATAAGCCCACTATAAGAATAAGTGAATGCTTATTCGAACACGTAAGTGACGACTATGAATTGAAAATGCGAATACGTGTTCCTTAAACATAAGTGCCGACTATGAATACGGCTCTAATTCTCGCATAGCGTAAAGAACGCTTAAATAATCCGGTTCTCATATTTGTTGAAATCTCTAAACTTCTAAAACTTACAAAAGTTCATTTTCTTCGACGGCTTCCAACAATATGGAAGATAGAATTTTCCTTTCTCGCGCTTAAGAAAGAACTTCTTAACAAGAGAGTTATGCAATGCAGCGCGAAAAAACGGCGATTTTCCCCAGAAAAATTAATTACAGGGCCCTGGTAGCGAAAAAGCGATAAATACAGTTGCTATATTCAGAAAAAAATCCTCTAACACGTGGAGTAGCTAGAATCCATGCTTTGTGAGTCCTTGATATCGGAAAGTCGATTGACGGCAAAACGTCTGTCGGCCGCCTGTGAACAATGCTAGCGGCTGAACTGTTCCGCCTCTTTTCTCCAAAACTGATATTCCCCGATTGATCTGGCTAATGTCGTGGCCCCTTGAATTTGAAGTCGATATTTAAATTTGGAAAGGTACTTTTTACATGAAGCCCCTGGGACATTTTCAAAATTTTCAAATAATAGCGGCATCGATTTTGATTAAATTTTGTTGTTTGATTCTCAGAAGAACATTTAAGAGAACGGCGCAGGTCTCATGTTGGTTAAAAACACTAATTATTCGAAATTTAAAAAAATTCAAAAATTTTTTCGGCATCTTCCTACAACTAAAATATTTAAAAAATGAATATATTTCCTTAATAAAATAGTATGTTCTTTAAAGAAACTTTTTGAAGTAATGTCATATTATTTCTCGAAAACTTTAGTATTTTGTGCGAATTTTTCCGTGAATAGACATTTTTTGATTTTTGTTGGAACAATTTTTTCTCAAAAACAGCTCGATCGTTTTTGATAAACGTTTGGTGGTGGATAGTTTAAAGGACGTTTAAGAGAATGGTGTAGTTCTCATGTTGGTTGAAAACTCTGATTTTCCGAATACTGAAAAAATTCAAACTTTTTTCGGCGTCTTCATACGAACTACAATTATGAAGACATTATGATTTTTTTTATTAATGAAATATGTTCATCAATAACAGATATTTAACTAAGGTCACATTCCATTTTCCAAAACATGAGTATTTTTTGCGACATTTTGTGCCAGACAAAGGCAAGTTGTATTTTCTTTAAACAATTTTTTCTTAAAACCCGCACATTTTTTATTAAACTGGGAACTTAGCAAACAAAACGCTTAAGGAAATGGTGCAGGTCTCATCTTCATTGAAATGGTCGATGTAGGGAAAATTTATAAAAAATTCCGCTTATTCTACAACTAGCATTGTGAGATAAATTTTTTTCTTCATTTCATTTCGTAAGTTAAAATTTGTACATTATTTAATATTTATTTGTTCGTTTCTTACATTCGATCTTTTGTATAGATTTATGCATTAATATTTTAGAAATTATTTAAACCCTATTTGAAACACATTAAATAAAAATTGCCAGCTTTCAGGGAACATCAACAAAGCAGGAAATGCAGCGATGGAAATCCGCGTGGCGCTCGCAAATTCCTGTGAATTACGACTCATTGTTGTGACATGATTTATCTGAATGATAAGAAGTTATAAGTGGCAAATTTGTGTTGATAATTACTTGAAAATACTTAGTTTTCGCTCCAAATGTTCTATTTGTCATGAGTAGACCTCGGAACTCAATGCACTACACAAAAATCAATATTATGCATGTAACCATGCACTTTAAATAGCCTATACACTCGCTTGAAACTCAGAATATGTATTAAACAAAAATATAGCAAGCAATAGATAACATTTAGTTATATAAATCTTTATTTCACAATGTAGTACAAAACGCGTATAATAATAATTTTCAAAAATTATAATAAACAAAGAAGCATAGAAAATGTAACACGGTTCTGCCCACTTCGACGCAAAACCTGGAATATGTGCTCTTAAATATGCCACATAAATAAAAATATGTCAAGGAATCGCCGATAGGAACCATCGCGCTCGCGTCTCGCACACGCCCTGCGTCATCAACCCATCAGCCAAATTTGGGAAGGAATAAGGTGAAGCCTGCAAACTCGTTTTGTCGTAACGAATTTCACATGAGGTTCAACGGTAATCGAACCTGGAATCTCAGTGGTAAAGGAAAGCGTCTTCGCCACTGAGCCACGAGAGCATTTCAGCGTATACTAATTTAAACTTCTTTTATTAAAAAAATTATGCTGATAAGGGCAAATTGTTTTTACTATCTTAAACAGATATTTTACTTTCATTTAAAGTATTTTTCTAAGTGCTTCACCGCGGTCTGTCTAACGAACATATTCTCTTAAAGTTTTATTTTCCCGCGCTTCATTTGGGGCGGCGTCAATATTATATATAAAAGGCGGTAAAAATTAACTTAATACTACAAATCATAGAATATTCGTAATTTAATTTGTTCATTAGTATTAGAGTTATTGATCAACAATGTATGATGTACTTTGACTATCCGATAAAAAAAGCTGAATTCAGATGGAAATAAGTGTTTTGCAATGAATTATTATTCGCCCAGCGAATGCACATGGTTTTGACAACGCTGCGCTGGCAACAGTGCGTTGCTCTCTTCTGTATAATTAGCTGCGAATACAGTATCAGTGAAATGTATTCCTGTTTGTTTTATTTCTCATGGTAAGAAATGCTCCTTGCTATGAAAATGAATGCAGATATGCATCACAGGTGTTTTGTTTGAATTTGACGTTTTAAAGTAATAACTCAGATGTTAGTAGCGCAGAAAATGCAATACTTCAATATTACGTAGTTGTTTCCAATAACGCGAGAAAACATGCGCACCGAGTTTTCCTAATGAAAACTTATATTCAAAAACATCTCTATAAATAAGATACCATACAATTTTTCCAAAACATGAAATTTGGCCGAAAATGTAAGCAATTTTTGAAACACTACTTTCTCAAAAATGCCTTCAAATATTTTTTCTCCAATACGCATAAAAATTCCGTAGGTCCCATTTTCGGTGAACTCTGTATTTTCGAAAATTGTCAAAACATTGAATTGCAAAACTACAATATTAATGCTGGAGATTTGATCTTTAATAAATTCAGCTCTAAAATATGAGATCTTAAAATAAGGTCATGTAGAATTTTTTAAAATAACAAATAAATTACGCATAATATTGCTTGATGTAATTACAACTCTTAAAAATTCTCAAAAACAGTTTCAAATTGTTTTTGTTTTTTTAATTTTTTTTTAATTTTTCACGAATAGTGAAAAGTACGTTTAGAACAATAGTGCAGATATTATTTTCGCTTAACACTATTTTCGAAAATAGAAAATTTCAAAAAATTAGCATTGCAAAACTACTACATTGACGATCGATTTTTTTACTAAATGAAACCAATTCTTCAAACTCGAATTTTTAAGTTCATATATTGTTTCAAAATACAGATCCGCATAATAGTTTGGATTTTTTAAAATGACACTTTCTAATTCACTACGCTTCTTTTGTTGAAAAATCTCGTTATGTTGCAAAACAACAATGGCAACATCGAAAGTAGGCTTTCACGGCTGATTTCTACATAATTAGAAGTTTCCGCGTTTGTAGGCCGTGGTCCAACGGAGACTGGTCCGTTTCGACTGCAGTCAGGCATCATCAGAGGCGTTACCCCAGGGGTGAAGGTGAGATCGGGAAATTGGCAACACACTGCCAGGACACATGGAGCGCTAGTTGAAAGAATATCAAGCAATGATTGGTTAGTGGTTTTCGCTTTTTTCTTTTTTTACGTCACATTCAGCCGGCCTGCATTTTCCACATGGCGAAAGGGTGAATCATATTGCCGTTGGTTACGTTCATTAGTACCTTTAGTGTGTTTTGTGCGGCGTTCATGTGTGTTTCGCGATTCAAGATATTTTGTGTTAGCAGACACAATCGCAACAGTTTCGAGTTTTCTCCATTTCGATTTGCTGGTCTTAGTGGAATACAATGATGTTTCGCAATATAGAGGGTAGCATTTAATTTAAAGTGTCATTCACGATTATTTGTATGAAATATGTAGCCTACTGTATTCACATAACACTATAAGGAAAACATGTAGTTTTTGTTATGTAATGTAATGATTTATTATGATTTGTTATTTCCTGTAATGATTTTAAAGAATGTTCATGAATATATGTATACTTTTCTAGAGAACAAATGCCCATTTAAATAGTTTGGAGAAAAAGTTTTGCTCTTATTCCAAATCCCCTGATGATACATTATTTGTTAAGTTATTTATCCGAAGAACTTTTTTTTAAAATGTGTACGTTTTGTAATATGCAGATATGTAATAGATGAAAAACAGAAAATACAAACTAAATAATATACAATGAACAATAAAGGCAATTATTTATTTATTTATTCATTTTGATTCCTTCATTTCTGCCATTACCATATAATTAGATGACTCTCCTCAGTTATGACCTTACCCAAGTGCATTACGAAAACAGATAATCACAATATTTTAGAAAAATTGCAGTATAATGTAGCCAAGTAATGTCCATTAACGTTCGCGAAGACGATTGAGTGAAATTAACTTTCATACGCTGCGTTGGGCGGGCAGTTTTGTGTGGTTCTTTGCCATGCCACTTGGAGTGCTGCGAGCGACTTTTGTTTCCAACGTTTAACATTGAGGGTGCACTTCTATCCTTTATTTTTCTGTGGGCGTTTCTGGCGGGGGCCGTGTTCTTGTTGGCGGCACCGCGTTGACGCGTCGTGATATATTTTTGGGTTATAAAAAGTTCGTAATTTTATATTACATTAAGGTTCTTGATATCTCGGGGAATAGCAGTAGCTTATAGATGGTTGCTAAGGGATACTTCGTTAAATTTCCATAATTGGAGTACTTTTTTTCCACGGTA